TTTTTTCAATTTCCAGCCACTAAAGAAAACGATTTTTTTTTCTCAATTGAATTTCGGTCTGTATATTCAATGCTAAAAGATTTGTTATTTTTCTTGTCGTTTTTGTGATAGATCAAAATTGTATTTCATTACATCAATAAAAATAGGCAACATTGCCAGTATTTCATCCGAATTTTTCTCGTATAGAGCGTAATGCAATATTCCAAAAAGACCTGTAATTATATTTGGAGTCAAAGAAACTCAGTAAATGATTCAATAGTCACAAACTTTGGGGTGATTCAAGTGGATTGTTTTTGCGATGTTACCGCATTGGCTCTCAAGTTGAATAAGATACTCAACACTGAATGTTTTTATGTTGGATTCAGATGATTTTAATGAGTTTCGTACATGATTTTCAAGTCATTGTCATTCAGGATCTTAGTCAATAAAAACACATTCTAAATTTTCTTTTAAATTCAAAAAATTACTAAGAACATTAAGAAAAAAAAACCGTGTAAGAAGACGATTTTAACTTAGTTTTTAATAAAAAAAGCTTCATCGCAAGTGATATTTTATCTATATTATGCCGATCGAATTCTTTATTTATAAAAAATAATTGCACAACAAACACTGTTTTCAGACTCTTCTTTCTACGAATTGTTCAGCGCTATAATAAAATTTACATCATCTTTTTGTTCTTTAAAAAAGGTGCATTTATTGTTTTCAGCGTGGTATTGGATGCTTGTGAACGTAATTCTTCTCATATGAGGTGTGAATATTTGCGACTATGGTTTCGGATGAAGAGAAGATTGATACCCATACCCACTCTAGGGATTGAACTCATGATGCGCAGCATTTCTCCACCCTATCCGTTCCATTGTGACTGTAATATATTTGGTTGGTGAATAAATGCATTACAGAACTTCTCTCATCTATGCTGATACTTACGATATGCGTTGCAGTTTGTTATAATGCAAATTAATGAAAATAGATTTTATTATATTTCGTGACATTCTCTTCAAAATACTGAAATTATGACCCAAAGAATATGTTTGATTTCATTTTCGCGTATATTGGTTCTTGATAAATTACCATAGTGTTGTACGAGAACTTCACAACGATCGATCATTGCTCGTGCTAAAATTATACTAGTAGGGAACGACTAAAAGTTAATCGATCGTTTATGACAGAAGTAACTGCTAAATGTTTGGAATAATACAATACTATATCTAATACAAATATTTTCAAGCTCTGAACTACGGTTTTCGTGATACTTGTACTCAAGAAAAAGATATTTTCTCTTCTTTGTGTTTCTTAAAAGTTGATATACATCATTCATCAACTGGAGTTGTTTTTCTGGAAGCATTAAATTAAGCCCTTACGAAGACAAATATGAGACTATTGTAGATAATTGTAAAACTTTAAGGTATTCATGTGGTATATAGAGATCAGTGCATAAATGTTGCTGGCCAAGTAATGCAAAAAAAAACAAACTTTCAACATTTGGTGCCATTTGCATCAATGTGAAACTCGTTTTTACATCTGAATATAGCTTGAATGAATTCACTTTTCATCTTTTACATATTTTCAATAGTGAAGAGTATCATAAATCAACTGCAGTCTTGTTTATTTTACTATCATCCAGAAATACATAAGTAAACAAAAAATTCACTTAACTAACATCAATTGTACGACCTTTCACAGCCGGCTTGGTCCAATCACCAGTTTTACCGTCTATACAACCCAAATGTTCGCCTCGTTTATTGTAAACTTCAATATCGCCGTGCGTATAATCCCACTGATAAAATTGATCACCCTTCTTATTACGTTTCACTTTACCACGATATGGTTTTAAATTTTGCCATATAAGACTTTTTGCTGGCTGCATTACGTCTCTGTCACTCATTTTCTTTCAGTCTTTTCCGTTCGTCGTAAAAGTATTATGATTGTATGAGTAATGAAATAACTGAAATAGAAAAAAAAAGAACGAGCAATATAAGACGAGACGGAGTTTTCCAACTACGCAATTGCAACAACAGTTGAGTCAGGAGCAGAGAAATACGCCACATCGGTCGAAGAAAGAATAAGAAAAATAAAATAACATAACATAAGCAGTTCTCCTGTGACAGATAAATCATGAATGCATACCACTGGATTTGAAACTACCTCAACTACTTTGACTTGTTTCATTCATCTCATGAGTAAATATTCACGAGTGCAATAGAAAATAAAGACGGAATTGACGGACTCAACTTCCTTGGATTATCTTGACTCTTTGGTCAATTCGAATTGTGTTGTCGATGAGGTATTTCGCTATTCTCCACTGGCCAATGGAACCGTTCACATATTAATGATCAATGATCTTCTACACGAGAGTAGTACTCAAGTGTATCAAGCTGAAACAGTGCTCATACTATTTCGTAATCTGTCGATCCGAATATCTTCTATCCGGAACGATTTCTAGTTGACAACAAAAATCATCATCCTTATGCTTTTGTTGCATTCAGCCATGGTCATTGTCAATGTATCCGACAAGATTTAGCTCGATTTGACCTAAAAGTAATCATAGTCAGAATGATGCAGTATTTGGCATTTATTGATGATGGTCCGGAAGAGAATTCAAGTGAACATTTAACAAGAGTTACCACTATACACAGATATGTTGTTATTAACATGGAATTCGGCTTATCTCACTATAATTCGTTGTTTCTCTCGGTTGTTATATACACCTTGATATAATCGAAAGTATCTGTTTCCGAGATGGACTAATCTTTAATAACTTGATTCAGTCATTCTTGTTGTAATTCACAATTGTACCCGCATGCATGTAAGAAATTTACTAAAAAATCAGATTTAAATCGCATGTAAATGAACTAAGATTCGATTTCGGTTTCACTGATGCTTCATCTACTTTTACAACTGCCATCGGATGTAAATCATCATGAAATTTGTTGACCATGAATTAACAAACTGACTAATTCGTCGCTACCTCTGAAGTGCTGTAGGTGTCACTGCGAATGTGGATGTGGGTCTTCTCTTCATTCACATCCACATCCTTACCAGACGTTTTTCTAAAATTCTATTCTACGTGCTGGATCCATTGAAATGAAACAAAATTTTTTGTTGACTCCTTCATGATAGTTTATAATGTGTTTCTATGTCACAATTTGATCTCAGATGTCAGATTGTAAAATTCAAATAATCAGAATATTAGCTCTAGAAAAAATAATATCTTCTAGCAGTGCAAATTTTTGGTCATAACTGCATACTGGAAAGGTTTTCTTCAAAAAAAAACTAGAGTCCCATTTAGCTCTTCCATCTTCTTCGGTACGTCTGTTTCGAGCTATTTTAATCCTTAATTGAAAACAACAAAACTGAATGCTATTGTATACTACCTACTTCTCACATACTGTTTTTATGAATCTATTTTTTCTCAAATGAGTCAGTATTTGTTGTTTTCTACTCTGAGCTGACTGTCAATTGTGTATTTTTCATACTCACACATTTTGTTAAGCTCTCTACTTATCGTATAAACTTGTTGCATTCATTTGTAAGTGATATATGTCTGTGCTGAATATTGAATTGCTAGGTTACGATAGTAGGGAGCAATTCCATATTTCTCAATGCGTGCATTGAAATTGCCGATAGTCATATAAAACATGGCCAATTTCGGATCTTTGAATAAATATTCACCGTAATTTTAAGCGATGGGCATAGTTACTACCGTCATTTTTTCGCAGTAGATATATTATGGTGGCTCGATTCATCACTCACTCTCGAAGCGCACTCACTGATGATGAGATGACTATCTGCATGAAGATCTTTTAGTCTATCGCAGAAATCTGTGGGTGCTGAAAGACACAGAGATAGACACATTCATATTAGTATTGCTGAAAAATGACATTATTTAAAGTAAGATTATCTCAAAGTGTCCGTTCGTCACCAAAAATATTTAGATCAGTGTAGAAAACATACAGTAACCCATCTTCGTCCTTATTCTTCGTTGGGAATAGTACTGTTATCGTCAACTTGTGAATGCATGACGAAGAACCAAACTTCATCATTGCTTAAGTATGCGGGTGTATGATGGATTCATCGAATAGTTAATTCAAGTAGAAGAGAGGTTTTTGCAGTTCTTCATTCAAACTATTCATCGGATTTTTACATGAATCTTTGCAATCAAAGTCAATATGATAGCAAACAAAAGAAAATATAGTTGATTAGAACTATTATTGCACAGTTATTTGAAATGTTCTGATTTGCATGGGATTTAGTGTTATTATTGTATTGTTTGATGAAATTTGTTCTAATAAGTTAAAAGAGAAATAAAAAAATGTGTTAAGCTATAATAGAAAACTTACCGATTTCATTCCAATATGATGATTCATTTTCAGTTGTTGTCCAATTAAGTCGTTTCATATCAGACAAAGGCATATTACCAGCAAGTGTCAGTTCAGTAACATCAATAATTTTACCTAAGCTATTTAATAACTTTTGTAGATCGATTTGAATGGGTTGCGAATAAACTTCATCTTCATGAAGTTCAAAATAGTGTTCGACACGAACTAAATACTGTTTCGCGTTCAATGGATCGAGTGTTAATAAGTGAAGATTGTATGGCATTGTATCAACTAAAGCTGACCATGTTTGCCAATAGTTAGCGGAATAATCAGTATAAGACATATTTGTTAATGCAAATGTAGAGATAGGATGCATATAAAATTGTTGAGCATTAGTTCGATGAATGACAGCACTATTATTTGGTGTATCAATGATAACTAAGTGTTTACCATGTACAACAAGACCTTTTCCAAAAGCTGTTTCATTTAATGGTTCTGTCATTGCACTACTTGGATCATTGTTGGGAATTCGACGATGAACCATAATCTCTATTGAACCATCAGATATACTTCCACCACCATGAGAACGATCTAGACAGATTAGCATATTGTTCTATAAATTTGCCTAGCCAGAAAATGCATAGATCATAGATGATTAAAATTTACATACCGGTCAGAACAGTGAATTGTCGCTGTTGATCTTTAATCCAAATACGACTATTAATTGGATAATAATTTCCACTAACATTTTCAAAAACAGTATAGTTCCATGTTGGTCGATAATTACGGATACGTTCAAGTACTTCTCGTCCATTAGCATCTGTATAGTATTTTGATGCACTTCTAATATCTGTATCGTAACGTATGATAACCTCTTTGCCAATATTATCATCAATGGGAATGGGACCAACTATCCATCCGAATTCAACAGTTAATAATCCATCATAAACACGCACTTCTTCACTTGCCCATTCATTAAAGATAATCAAAGCTGATTGTACTAATTTCGATTTCGTACATGTTCTAATCGTCAAAAAAAGCAAAAAGAAATCAGTTTCATAATAAGAAAATACTCACATATTTCGAATATTGCCAATCGGTTGTGCATTTGATGTTAGAGGTCGAAAAACGTAGGCACCAGAACCATTCGGATAACCTCGAAAAGAAATTTTTAAAGTGAGCTGATCAAAATGTTACTCACTATGATACCAATAGAGACCTTGATTTGAAAATGACACTGAAGTATTACTCTGATAATTAGTAATTTGAAGAAGATTTCCTCGATTGTCAAAGTCTACTCGAATAAACTTAAACAAACAAAAGATCATATTTACTTTTATATGTATTATTTATCTATTGTACTTGATTCTCTAATTTGCATTCTTCGTTAAATGTTACTTCTACATTGGGCTTGACTCGTTCTTCAGCTGTCAAAAGAATACTACAAATAAATAATTTTCTAGAAAAACTAAGCTGAGTTTACTTTTGATTTGAAAATAATAAGTATTGAAACCAAGAGGTGGCAATATTGCTTTGAATAAGAGCTCATTTTGAGCAATGCTCATTCGTCCAGGAATATTTTTAATAGTCGTCGGAATAGATAAAAGCTGGAAGTGTTTTAGTTATTTTTGATGTCTTCATCAAATTTATTTAAACTTACTTCAGATGGAAGAATTTGTCCAATGGGATCAAGAATTATATAATCATTAGTGACAGGTACACGAACAAAACTAGTTACAGACTGGAAATTGGGATTCCATAATGTTAATGTGAACTAATAAGAAAAAATATTGTTCATAAGCTCTTAACGATGGATGTATTTACGCAATCTTGTTTTTCGATCGGTAGACATTCACTTATATTTGATAATTGACAAAGGTAATGAGGTGTTATAGGTAATGATTGATTTTCCTTTGGTAATAATTTAGCATAAGCATTGTTCATCATGACCTAAAGACAATGACAATTGTAACAAATTTTCTGGAAGCATTGATAAATGAATGAAAAAAAGAAAAAGATTTTTGTATTTTGATTATTCACTAGAACAGCGTCAATTCCTTGTGACAATCGTTGAACATAATCATCAGCAACATGTTGTCTCTCTGTTCCACTCACTGCATCATGATGTTGTACAAGACCTATAGCCTCACCTGTCACAAATATGTTTATAAAACAAAAGTAAAGAAACATAAAATTTTTCTTACTCAAAGGAAAAATACTATTTCGCATATTAAGATTTGAAAATGCATTTAATTGTCGAGCGACTTGAAGAATATTATTCGAATAACGTTCATAACGTTTGAGTGCAGGCCGTGATGTATAAAACCCTGTTCTAACTACATGTGGAGCAATAGAGTAAGGAAAGAAATCATCTATTTTTGAAGACCATGTTCGATTGACTTTGTTTAATGCATATAAATAGCAGGATGGTGTTGAATAGAATACATTCACATCACTTCCATTTGCTTGCTACGTATACAAATAAAACAAAGAACATATACTTTTATTCGAGTTAATTGTGAAGATTATTAAGTAGTTTGTCAAACTGACCTGTTCATTGACATATTTGATTAATTTGTCCAAATTTTTCAACCATTCATTGGCATTTTGGTAAGTAAAATCTTGACCCATGGTCATAATTATATGATTAGTAGCATAACTGCGAGCCTGAATGCATACGAATATAACGAAATTTTTAATGAAAAAAAAAAGTATACGAGAGAAAATTTTAGGCAAACTCTAATGACACATGAAGTATATTTAAACAATACTATCTACAGATGGATAGAAATTCATACTTCATTATGAGCAGCTTGAATAAATGCTTGAACTCGTTCAGGTACATTGTATTCCTGAAGTCTTGGATCATCCTACCGAAAAGCAAAGTAAACAACATTTTATCATTTATCTATTATCGTATTTGAAAAGTGAGAAACGTGTTATAGAAGCGTAGTAGCGAAACTGACCATAATCGGTTCATCCTGGCAGAAGATATCATAACAGAATCCGGCTGGTGGAACATAAATGTTGGGCAAAATACTCGTAAACAGCCAACTCTGACTATCTGAAAGACATGATAGAGTCATAAATTAGCGATAACTACCTAGTCAGATACATCTTTTTTTGTAATTTAAGTATTCATTTGATAGCTAAGAAGCTATTATCTCTTATTATGTATAAAAACAAGGCAACTGTAATGTTTCGACAAAACATATCCAGTTCATTTAAACTCACTCTATCAAATTGAGACCATGGATACTACCTCATTATCAGCACTGTAATTTTTCCTTTTATTAATTGTATCTGTATTTATACTCACCTAAATTTGCACTTGCTTTCCAGATTATTTCCAGTGTTTTTGTTGCATTTCTTTGTTCATGATCTTGATAATCAAATTTTCCGAAAAATAACCCATCAAAACCCATCTAAATAATGATAATGTCGATTTCTATTTGTCAAATGCTTCCTTTTAATCAAACCTGTGCGAATAGTGAAGCAACTTCACGTGAATGACCAAATGGATCAATCTGCCAACCAATTTTCGGTCGACCACATGCACCAAATTGATCACGTAAAAATTCAGCGCCCAAAGTATGTTGATCAATGATTGAATTGTAATGTGTTGCTCCTTCGTCATGCATCGACCAGCCACCCGAAATGAACTCAAGACGACCTGGTTGGTTTTTTTTTGTAAAGAAAACATGAGCAGAGTTCTTTTTTTATTTCTCATCGAAATCAAAGAATGTTCTTGACAGAATTATAGCCACTTGTTTCATTAATTGATAATAATTCTTCTGATCATAGGGGACATTGGCTAGCATGTTATTATATTAACAACTATGAGGAAATTTTTAATATCTGAAAATTCTGACAGTAGTCTTATAAAAATCAAGTCATTATTGGCTGTTACTTTTACAATAGGCCCTGCCAAGTCATGCTCGGACTTAATTTGACGGATTCTACTCGAGAGACCGATCTATATCGATTGTCTTCTGATAAAATGCCATGAGAGTATCTTTTAGAGTTTGTAGCAAAATGAAAAGCTATGTTATTTCAAAATATCATTCGTCTCTATGTATTTATTTCTCATTATTGTTTTTAATTTGTCTAATCGAATTGTTTCTTACTATCTACAAAAGTAATCCAAACTGTCACATGAACTAAATATCCTCACTTAATACACTGATGTTTTGTCAGACATCACACTTTTATTTACATTCTTATTTCATAGAAAGTAATATGTTCTTCCGTAGAGCATAGTTTTATCGCATCAGAAAAACCTCTTATATGTAACTTTTGGAGAGTTTACAAATTGAAACAACTGCAATATACTATTTCACTTCGAAGAGATATAGAAGTCTGAACGAAAAAAAATTTAGTGTCTATAGCAAGTCTCTACCCTAGATTGTCATAAACTCACCTTGATTAACAAGTTGCTTGACTGTATTTTGCGTGTCTTCTGTCTGTTGAATCCACCAACGCCAGAAGAATGCAATTTCAACATAGATAAATCGTCGATCTGGATTTTCAAGGAGTGATTCAATAAGTGAATCAATAATGTATTGAACACCTTCAGGTCTAATTTCCTTTCGAGCTAAACAAGATAAATCGAATGAAATATTATAGTAAGGTCTTAGATATATCCTTAAAGTCATAATTAGATTATATATAATAATAAGCCATAGCTTTTTCGTCATTGATCTCATACAATATGCAGCGTAAAATAAAAAACAAATTTCCTGACCTCCATAGAAATATTGATCTACTGTTTTGAGCCAACCCACATCATCATGTGTATGAGCCACGAGATGGACATTAAGTCTATCTGCTTTTCCCAAGTTGCATGACTGTTAATATAAAATATTTAGTTGAACGTATAGCCTATTACGTGAAAGAATCTTACATTATAACCACAGTTATTAGGCCATTGGTATGATGTTTCATTACAAATTGTAATCACAATGAAAAGTAGAAATGCAAAATAGGTTATAATACACATGTTTAAAGCTACGAGTTGAAATTTCGATCTTTATAAAGTATATAAAAGTTGCTATAGTTTTCAGACTTACCATGTGACTCTTGCGCAAAATCGAATGAAAGATCTTGTAAGCAGTGCACGTTGAGATAAACCATGTCATTTTCGAAGGAGAACAGATAAAAGAGACGGAGATAACCATATATGGCTGTATGCCTTCATTTTTTGGTTAATGTTATTCGCTCCATTGTCAAAAACGTAGTTTCAATAATTTGATTACTATTTCATTTGTTTTTTTCCTATTATTCAGTGGCAATTATTGCAAATATATTAACGCAATGATCTCATTTGTGGAACTGGTCGAAACATGTGAAGAACATCTTGAAAATACTTTTGGTTGGGATCGGTACTCATCGAAATTTGTTTTCTTGATCATATTGCGATGTTTCTCTCAACTTTTTCTGTATTGAAATATTTTGTTTGCTATTATTGATGTCACACAGTGAAATGATTTGCTAAAAATGATGTCATTTGAATTGAATTCAGATATTCAAGCCTAAACGAACTACGATCAATCAACAATAAAAAAATATTACTTGTTGTTTCGAGATGTTTTTCTCAAATCATTCATTGATTACTATTCTCATGTTTGATGTCGCTTATTGAAGTAATATTCTCCTGTGGATCTATCTATTCTTCACCCACACCTATGTCGAAGTAAGTTTGCACTCTGGCTCTCATCTCAACCGCAGAAAAATCATCACATCACATGTTTCACCTAATATTGTCTTTGAAATGATTCTCTATTTCTATCTCACTTCGATTCAATCGGTTATTAGAAATGTATATGTGGCATTTGACGGTAGCCTAGCGAAATTGATATAGAAGAAAACTATTATTCATTTGCTGACTAATCGTTCGAAAATTGAATATTTTGTCTCAACAATCATCATTTATGACGATGCAGAACCGGACAAGTGACTACTTTTTCAATTCAGCAAAAAAAAACGTTGTCAACGATCCATAAGGTGTTTGCTACTGGCAGTCTTTTGGAAAACAGCTACGTTGATGGACCTGTCTAGCTGTTGAGCGGAACGGATTGAATGCCTGGGTTGTCAATAACTAAAAGTCAATCTTGTTCGATGGCACTTTGAGTTTCCTTTGTTGGCCATCAGTTTAAGCTACTTCGATGATCTCGAGCGGTGAATTTATTTCAAACAAACCACTAACATGACAATTCGAGGTTCAACTCAATGCATTTGACCTTGAGATAAGTGCACCGTATGATGATGAGGACTACTGTTTTTGGCTTCGTTCGCATGTTTTTCGTGGACCACATAAACTTGAACATCTCCATCGGAATTGTTTTGAATTGTGTAGCCTTGTACAAACCGTGGGGTTGAAATGCTGCACTGATGACCCATCGTCGTCTCTTGCTAGATTCAGTTACCAACGAAATGCAAAAGAGCGTCAAACACGAGCGAGTGATCGGTAGAACATGAAAGGGACAAAATGTCTTGCTATCGAACGATGCAAACTGCAGAAAGAAAAAAGAATTACTTCGATCACGACAACTCATAAGAAGAAGTGAAAAGAAAAGCGTATACACGTCTACATACTAGCACTCGAGCAAACTACCATCAATGGAGAGATCGAAACTATCTTGGCAACTTGCGCTGTCATAATGGTCTTAGTAATCATGATCAATAAACGATGAGAAAAGAAACATGCCATGGAAAGTAGAGCAGATGCTTTGATGTCGAAATGATTTAACGAACAGCATTTGCATCTTTGAATCTCATTGATGCTTGTAGCATCTATTTTTGATGGTTCTTGCTCGCACTACGTCTCTCGACATTGCTCACCTGCTAGTTCCGGTTCTAATAATCGAGTTTCTTTCGAATTCAGGTCTCCAGTGAAAAAATATTGTAAAAATGAGATTACGTATTGATTTTCATAGAAGGTCTTGCAGAAATCTTGAACAATGAGCTATACAGCTTTCTGGCTTTATCACATTCTCCTACCGCTTAGAGTAAAGATCAGGTTTCTCCTAAAAGTTGAACAACAAGCCTACTGAACTTCAATTTACTCAAACTTGCCTACTTCGTAACCATCATTAATTCCTCAATATACTTTGTTAAAAAGGGTTTTCGAAAGAAGAGTTTAGCTAGACTAAATAAGAGTTTTTTCAGAAATTAATGGTGAACATCCTAAGGTGAGATCTTTACGGGAGTTAAAACGATCGATAAGGCAGTTGTTAATGACTGTTAGTTGAAAAACGGCTACATTGATTAGCGTATTTAGCTGTTGGATTCGATAACTTCGTTGTTGATGGCAAACAGCCCATCGCATTCGATACCGTGTACACCATCGAAATATGCTTTGAATTCCGCTTTTTGGCCATCAGCTGGAACCATTTCGGTGTTTTCGTCTGAGACATTCACTTGATATTAGCCTAAGCTGACAACTCGAGGCTCTACTCGATGAATTTGAGCTTGAAATAAGTCCACTGTGTGACGATGAGCACTGCTGTTCTCCACTTTCAGATATTTTTTATGGATCCCATGAACCGGATCATCACCATCAGTATCGTTTCGAGCCGTGCAACCTTATACAGAGTGTGGAGCTGGAACCGCGCTTTGATAACTCTTGATTGCATGCTGTTTTGAACGTGCTCACTTGTGTAATGCAACGATCGGCAAATACGAACAGTAAGTACGAATGTCTTACTGTCCAACAATTTACTTTGCATCATAAAAGAAGTACTTAAACCGTGACAACATGTTAGAAGTACAGTGGGAAAAGATAACAACATACATTATCATAGCATTATATTAGCAAGTTCACTGAAGTACAGCAAATAAAAATAAATTACTAATCCAACTCGCATAATAAAGAAGTGCATGAAAACCCACAAACGAACAATGAGAAGAAAAACATATCGAGAATCAAATGAAGGTTACAGTTATATTTGTCCTTTTATCATGCACCCGTGAAAAGACATCGATAGATGAGGGTGTGCAGCGTGAATGTGGTGTACAAGCACATCCACATCCACACCTATACCTACACCCTCACACTCATACTCACCTACATCCACACCCGCCACAATCACGCTCACGTCCTCACCCACACATCCACATACCCTCACACCCTCAAATGTATAGTTATTTTTTGTATATTAAACAACAGATATATGTGACTTATTCGTAGATGATGTATCTTAGAATTCGAATAGGTTAATTTTTTTGATGATACTGATCGAAACAAATTGAAGTACAAAAATTTCGTGGAAAATGCTTAAAAATTGATTTTAAAAAAACGTAAAAAGCATGTGGACGCCTAGATATACTCGATCTCTTTCCTTTTTCTACCTCTTTTTTCTGGATATCCCTATGAATAATTCCTTGCACATGCAAAAGAAAGATATCTATTTCTAGCTGATAAACTAAATTAAACAATAGACATATTGATTTATACTCTATTCTAAAGATTTGATTAACACTCCTCTACAGTTTGAAAGAATATCTTTATGCAATTCAAAAAGAAATATAGATTTTTTTGTTAGGTTTTCTTATCTTGACCAATTAATGTATTTCAAGTGTATTTCATCATTTTTTACTTCTTTTTTTTAGTATTTTTGATATCTTGGTCGTATTTGAAGAGTATCATACAATTTATTACCCAAGAAAAATTACACTAAATATGCATTATCAACTCATAAAAAATACTACATGGTAAAAATATCGAAAATTTTCTAGCTATCAAAGCTATGTTGTCCCCATGTTCGAACATTACAGCACTTCATTTTTTGTTTCTGGTGAGTCGTATTCCTATGAGAGGAGCAGCAAATTTCTCCTTATGGAGATATGACTTACCAAAAACAAAAGAATGAAATTTCTCAACGTTCAGCCAAGTCGAAAAGAAACTTTGATAGGTTCTCTTTCGTTATTTTTTTTCGGTGTACTATTTTCTTTGAGTTGATGATATAGATTCAGCCTGATTTCTCTTCGATGACAGCTCATGATCTACACTTTAAATACGACCAATATACGAATAATATTAAAAAAAGAGTCGAAAATTATGAAACACTCTTTTAACAATAGCAGAGTGTGAATATAGTGAAATAACATCATAACGAACAGACCCTTAATAAGTAAATAAATTTCGTAGAAGAAACAAGTCCGGGTGGCCTCTCTCAAAAGGAACTTTACCAGCAAATGTTTTTCAATTTATTCTTTCGTATTTGATTACTTTGCCGATACCATTCCACATAGAACCAACACCAACGCCTAAAATTTCACCACCGCTAAGAACTGCTCCTAAGTCACCAATACATATAGTAAAAGCAAAAATTTCCTATGACCAATGCTGTTCCTCCACCAATAGCTAGATTTGTTTCTGGTTTATCAACGTTACCATTCATATTGCATTGACAATCACACATTCACACCATTGTGGAATACAAACAGTAGACACTGCTGGTCCATGTTCTTGATTGGTTTTGTCGAATTCACATATATTTTCGAAGGGGATAGTAAGTGTAAGTTTTCAGCTCGTGTCGCGGCTCCCACTCTCCCAACCCTATTACAGTCCTTAGTAACTCTTCCAAAAGAAATTCTTCGAAATTCAGGCATCAATAAAAGAGATGTTTTCTGAAACGATTCACTGTGTTCGGAAACAGCTTTAGTTTAAGAGAAAATTTTCATTTGTCATACTTTGTATTATTTTTATGAAGATAAAGAATTTGTGTGAGTTTCACATTTTAGCCTCAAAGATGGTACGCTAACAACCTCTTTAATTGTGAAATGTTGCTATGGATTGAGTAATTTTCGAAGAAAAAACATCGTTGTATATATTAGCAACAATGATTGAAAATACAGAACCAATAAAGAGAATAAACAATTGGTAATATAAAAATCGTATGTAAACTACATAATAGCATACATTTCGCCGTGTTTCATATTTGTCTGTCATTTTGATAGAGTATAGTAAAATTTCACAATAGTCCCATTTTATCATGACACACTAGCAACACAAAAAGTCTTATTCAAGATGCAGAAGTGGGTGTGGGTGTGAGTGTCGGTGTCGGTGTATATGGGTGTTTCTAGTTGAAAGAAATGCCGACATCCAACCAGCCGGACTCACATCTGCACGCCCACACTCACCCACACCCATACCTACACTGTAAAAAAAAGGGTTTCTACCGAACCCTCCAAAAAGGTTTCGTAGATGTCTAAAAGCTTCCAAATGCGTCGAAACGTTTAAATAAACGGTTGTTAAAATCTACGAAAACCTTAAAAGGATCGGGTATCGGGCACAGCTACCGAACCATCTCCTACGAAACCTTTTTAAAGTTCCGTACAGCAAAAAAAGGTTTCGTATTTTCTTACGAAACCTTTGTAGTTTCTTACTAAACTCTATGGTTTCGCACTATGGTTTTACACGAAAGCATAAGGTTTACTAGGAAGCTACAAAGGTTTCGTAAGAAAATACGAAACCTTTTTTGCTGTACGGAACTTAAAAAAGGTTTCGTAGGAGATGGTTCGGTAGCTGTGCCCGATACCCGATCCTTTTAAGGTTTCGTAGATTTTAACAACCGTTTATTTAAGCGTTTCGACGCATTTGGAAGCTTTTAGACACCTACGAAACCTTTTTGGAGGGTTCGGTAGAAACCCTTTTTTTTTAGTGTACACCCCACCCAACACCCTCCTCGTCAGTCAAAATCAGTGAGATTTTTATGTGCTGTAAAAAACAATTTATACAGAAATGCATCTCAGACTCGGTTTTTTCCAAGTAAAATTTTGTCGTTCTTTACTTTCTTCTGTCACAAGAATAAACACAAACACGATTGGTTTTGCTTCAAGAGAATATATATTCTGTTGTTGATTTCATAGCATGCATGCACATTGTCAGTTCTTGGCGAGTGTCACCAAACATGAGTTTTTGTCATCATGAGACGTGAATCATCAAAAATGAGTAAGATCGTATTTTAGTTGGTTAATCATTCTATAGTTGGAAGTAAATATGCACAGGTAAAATGTAGATGTGTAAAAGTCATATACAAGTGAAATCAGATATTAAAAAGCTGCTGTAGCGATCATTTTTACAATGCTAATAGCAACAGATGCATTTTATTTTTGTTAACCAAGAAAATTATCATCAACGGAAAAGTAGGTAATATTTAAGTGTTAACATGATTCATGAAATTCATTGACAACATCTGCTACATTTCATGTCGTTCGTCTGTCTCATTTAGCAAACGAGATTAATTGTCATATGTATTGGAAATGTAATCGTGAATAATGTTACCACGAAGATTGATCATTTTTTTGTTCCATGATAAATGCTATCAATGACTGAGAAACTCCAACAATGTCTTGGTTTCATTTCAGAAGGTGATCTTTTGCGCAGTTGTCCATTTTCTTTTGGCTTCTTTATTATTCTATCATCAATGATTTTGGATAAAAAATTTTATTGACCAATTATGAATCAATAAACGAATTCATAAAATCCATGATGTTATCTAAACAATCCGACACATTTTATTCATCAAACATAATTGAATAAACTCAAATATAGGCTTGATATATTTTTAGATCTGTACGAAAATATTCATTCTACTGCTGGAGTAGTACAAGAAGTCGACGCGCATTGCTTTATGCTCACAACATACTTCTGTCGATAGGAAACCAAAATGGCCGATAACAGTGATGTCAAGAATTCGATATCTCTTGTACTGGGCCCTGAATGGTTACGTGAGATGAAAAGTCCTACAATAAAAGTGTTTTCAACTTTAAAAGAATTACTTGATAACATATCTCAACCAGAAAACAGCAACGATTCATTTCGTGTATTCATTCCAGGTCAATACATCGAACATCTGATTAAAAATGATATTCATAATTCAGTTCATGTAGATTCTATCCATAGTTATTATAATTCTGAAGTTGATTTTCAGTTGCATACTAAACAATATCAAAGCATCAGTAACAAATTACATTTTCTGATGACGGCCGACTTAGCCGCGCGACTTTTGGCCGCCTTCGGTCTTCATTCGACTCATCAAGTTGGTACAGGCAATCAATCAATCTCGAAGCCCAGTCGTGCGAGACGAAAAACAAAGACCAAAGGAAGACGAGTTGTTGTCTCAAATACAGTTTCTTTCGATATGAAATGTCATAAATGTTCATCCGTATTCCAAGATCCTTTTCAACTTGCCTGTGGACATCGACAATGTCGATCATGTATTGATAAACAAGAAGGGTAATCATTCACTTCTCCGTCTCTTTCTTTCTTTATTTCAAATCATTTCTAAATTTCTATGTACCACTTTAGCACTATGATCAGGTGTGTTGATTGTCAGACAGAAACACGACGAGAAGAAGTATGAAGAATGTATACATCATTTTTTTAGCAGAGAGATAAACTTTTTCTAACTCTTTAGTTATGGCTCGATCGCGGTTTCATGAAACAATTAGAACAGTTTAACGAGACAAGCTGACTTAAAGACCCATAAATGATACTGTTAATAACTCTTATTTGTTCCTATGATGTTCGGTATCAAATCTTTGTATTTATTCGAACGACATTCATCTGTAGTTGATACTAAATAGTACCTATTTCTATGTATATGCGTTGAGAAATCTATTGTCAACTTTGTGTTCATTCTAATCATTGATTTAATTTTTTCTGTGAACAGTGTAGGGTGTGGGGTGTGGGTGTGGGTTGGGTGTGGGGTGTGGGGTGTGGGTGTGGGGTGGGGGTG